CCATGTAGATACCTGGAAAACAAAATACTATGATATTTATGATACCCCTCCTGTGCTGTCTGCCCATTTCTGTTCTGTCACCAAAGGATTTTTATCTTTACTTTGGCATAATTTTCTCTGAGAGTGTTTTATGGAAACGTAAGATGGCCGCCAGTGTGTCCAGCAGCAGAAGGTAGCAATTATTGGTTTATTTATATAGCGCCTTTCACAGACCAGAGTCACGAAGCGCTTTATAAGTCCGGGCATTTGTCTCTGACTCCACACAGAGATGGGAGCGAGGTTCTTAGTGGTAGATGAAACTGGAGCACCCGGAGGAAACCTACGCAGACACGGGGAGTACATACTAACTCCATTCAGAAAGACCCTGTTTCGACCGGGATTCGAACCCAGGACCTTCTCGCTGAGAGTGCCGCCCAAGAAGCCTCGCTCTGGTCTCTTCCGGTCCTACAGTCCACACGTCAGAGATGTCTTGTATTATGAGAGTAGATCCTGGAGGAGCTCAGAGTATTATAGACACCGGGGACACTCGCCACTGGAGGCCTCTCGCTCTTCAGCTCCATTATTTACTTTATCAGATCAAGTTACTGTTGTGCTTTTCACACACGCAGCCAAGTGGCCCAGGGATGCAGGGACTGGGGGAGTTTCGCCAAAAAGCCCTATCAGAGAGAGAAAAGAACCTCATCCACAGAAGACTGTTCTGATTTCTACTCGTCTCTGTGTGGAAAGAGAGACAAATGCCCACAATTGTAAAGCGCTTTGTGACTCTGGTCTGTGAAAGGCGCTATATAAATAAACCAATAATTGCTTACTTCTGCTGCTGGAGACAGTGAAGGCCATCTCACGTCTCCATAAAACATTCTCAGAGAAAATTATGTCAAGGCAAAGATAAAAAATCCTTTGGTGAAAGAACAGAAATATGCTTTATTTGCATTTTTCAAAAATAAAAAAAATAATTCCTCTGGTGGATTTGCGCTTGATCTGTTTGGTTGGGAGCATCCTCTCTGCTCTGGTCTGGATCAGTGTAAAGCCATGAACACAGAGAGAACAAACATAAAGAACAATGGCGGCGGGTACACCAATGCTACGTGTGCTTCGAGCGCTACACGGAGGAGAATTCTACTTGAGTTTCAGTTTCCATTTTCACAGCTGCTGTTAAATGCAGAATGATGTTGGTGCCTTCTTTCACGTCTTTACCGTGGCCTGAGGAGGATGTTGTTGAGGAAGTGAATATACTGGTGCGCACGTGTCGTGTTGTAAAGTTCCACTGCCCCCTACTGCCCGGGCGCTAGAACTGCATTGTTTTCCGTTGTTGTGTAGACGCTGTGCACTTCGAATAAGTGCTAATTGCTTTGCAGCGTCTCCGTCTAAACAGGGCCTGAGAGTCTAAACTTGCTTTCATTGTATTTTCAGTCGGAGGCGTCCATGAAGACCACCTGGTACTGCCCCCTGGACCTGGTGAGCACACAGACACAGAGCACCATGTGACCCCTGAGTGACAGGAGCAGGCGGCTGTGGGAATGTTCACAAAAGACTGATAATAAAAAATATATTGACCACAGAGGACCTGCTGCACTGAGAGCAGACAGAGGACAGTCAGTTTGTATCATGGGCTGTTTTTAGCTTTGTTACTAATGGTTTTAGCTCAATCCACACTAACATCAGGAACCTTTGGTCAGAATCACTTTAAGGACAGAGTGAGTATCAGACTTGTACTGAGGCCGACAAACTCGATAATTGAACTGTTGAGACGAGATTCAGACTGTTCTGATTTTCTAAACGAGGTGATAGATGATAGAGAGATAGATAGATTGATCAATAGATGATGATGTCTGCTGTCCTTGTGTAATTCTATTCAATTTGACAGAGCTGGAGTTGGCTGGATGACAAATATTATACTTCTCCCCAGCTGCGTAAGCGCTATATATCAAATGTTGTGACAAAATTAAAAACAGATATTGGGTCTTCATATATTTGGATTCCAGAGGACCTGAGCTTTGCAACAAGGTTTAGCATGTAAATACTGGCAGAGCTGAAGTTGGCTGGATGACACTGCAAACCTAGTAAAGGGCAGAGGCTTCAGAAACTGCTTAAATGCTGTTTTCAAACTCGTTATGCTCTGACCAATCCTCAGACTGACTGATGACATTAGGTTCCTTACAACTGTTTCGCGTATATTTGTAAGCATGTAGTAACACACTTCTACCACTAGAGGGGTGTGTAGTTTTGCCTGAGCATATCAGATAAACACTACACTACAAACTACATATTTGACATTCTCCTGTTGTCCTGGACACACGATGCTGAGTGCAGCCTGTTATGTGTCAGTCTACAGTGGTGGAGGAGGAGGAGGACGGGATCATCTACTCTGTGATGGTGACGCCTCCGCACAGCGCCCCCCACAGTCACCCGCGGGTAAGGCTCATAACACTCACTGTTTACACTGAAGAAGCAGAAGTGCACACGAGTGACAGTGACTTGTGCGGCTGCAGTTGAGCTTGTGCGAAAACTAAATGGTCAAAGTAACACAGTAATTATGGTAGTAATGTTTTTAGACTGACTCTTCCCCAAAGGGTGCTAAGGCAAAGATACGAGGCGTCTTTGAAAGCATCACGAGGTCCAGAGGTCTCTTGTATCAGACCTTACCTTCAGTGTCTAACTGTGTGTGTGTGTGTGTGTGTCTTCTGCGTGTGGGTATGTGTGTGTGTGTGTGTGTGTATATGTCTCTGTGCGTGTGTTTGTGTGTCTTTTGTATGTGTGTGTCTGTGTGTGTGCGTGTATGTGTGTGTGCATGTTTGTGTGTCTTTTGTGTATGTGTGTCTTCTGTGTATGTGTGTGTGTATGTGTGTCTTCTGTGTGTGTGTGTGTGTATGTGTGCGTGTTTGTGTGTCTTTGTGTGTGTGTGTGTGTGTGTGTGTCTGTGTGTGTGTGTATGTGTGTGTCTTTGTGTGTGTGTGTGTATGTCTCTGTGCGTGTGTTTGTGTGTCTTTTGTGTGTGTGTGTGTCTGTGTGTATGTGTGTGTGCATGTTTGTGTGTCTTTTGTGTATGTGTATCTTCTGTGCGTGTGTATCTGTGCGTGAATGTGTGTGTGCGTGTTTGTGTGTCTTTTGTGTGTGTGTGTACGTGTGTATGTGTGTCTTCTGTGTATGTGTGTCTTGTGTATGTGCGTGTTTGTGTGTCTTTTGTGTGTGTGTGTACGTGTGTATGTGTGTGTCTTTGTGTGTGTGTGTGTGTGTGTGTGTGTGTATGTCTCTGTGCGTGTGTTTTTGTGTCTTTTGTATGTGTGTGTCTGTGTGTGTGCGTGTATGTGTGTGTGCTTGTTTGTGTGTCTTTTGTGTATGTGTGTCTTCTGTGTGTGTGTCTGTGCGTGAATGTGTGTGTGTGCGTGTTTGTGTGTCTTTTGTGTGTGTGTGTGTGTACGTGTGCGTGTGTGTGTAGGCAGCCCGGCAGTGTCAGTGTGTGAAGGCTGGCACAGAGGAGAAGCTGGTCCTCCATCTTCTCCTGTGTTTCTCAAGAGGAGACTGCAGCTTCATGAGCATCTTCCTCTGCACCTACCGCACCTTTATCAGCACACAACGAGTGCTACACATCCTGGCAGACCGGTAACACACACACACACACACACACACACACACACACACACACACACACACACACACACACACACACACAGAGACATCAGAGGGAGATACCAGAGAGAGAGACCAGAGAGAGAGAGACCAGAGAGACCAGAGAGAGAGAGACCAGAGAGACCAGAGAGAGAGAGACCAGAGAGAGAGACCAGAGAGAGAGACCAGAGAGAGAGACCAGAGAGAGAGACCAGAGAGAGAGACCAGAGAGAGACCAGAGAGAGACCAGAGAGAGACCAGAGAGAGACCAGAGAGAGACCACAGCTAACTTGACCTCAGTCACTAAAGCAAAGAAGATGCACACACAACTGCATCCAATCACAGCAGTTGTTATCTGGGAGGACTTAACAAAGCTGTCGATTTGCCAACACAGATCAGAGAATCAGACAGTTCACACACAGGAAATGCAATGATCCAGACACACACTCTGGTTTTGATGTATGTAACAATTGGCCTCACAGTTTTGACTATTGAGTATGTTGTATTTTGAGCCGACATGACAGTATTTGCTGTGTATAGATAGAAAACCTAATTTGCAGACTCAAGATCCAGGTCAACACAGACATAGACAATAAAAAACAAAACACAACAGACAATAAAAACCTAATCTAAGCTGTTGTGTCGACATGATTCTACGTGTTGTGTTGACATGATTCTACGTGTTGTGTTGACATGATTCTACGTGTTGTGTTGACATGAGTCTACGTGTTGTGTTGACATGAGTCTACTTGTTGTGTTGACATGAGTGTGTGTGTGTCCAGGCTGGAGGACCCCCCAGGCAGCTCTGAGTCCAGCCCCACCAGACAGGCCTTCAACAAGTCAGTCTCACCCTCTCACTTACCCACGTGTATCCATGTTGCCATGTTTGCTGACATGCTGTGTGTTCTTTGTGTGTGTGTGCAGTGCGGTGTGTAGTGTGTTCGGGGCCTGGCTCTCGGAGTACCCAGAGGACTTCCAGAGCCTGGAGGACCCCTCCTGTCTGCTGCGCCTGGCCCCTCTGCTACCCACTGCTGAGCTGAGGGCCCGACTGCTGCAGCAGGCAGAGGAGCTCAGCGAGAGGGCCCTGCTGCAACACACACAAGGTCTGTCACACACACACACACACACAAGGTCTGTCACACACACACACACACACACACAAGGTCTGCCACACACACACACACACACACACACGCACACACAAGGTCTGTCACACACACACACACAAGGTCTGTCACACACACACACACAAGGTCTGCCACACACACACACACGCACACACAAGGTCTGTCACACACACACACGCACTCACACAAGGTCTGTCAAATTAATCCTGAGCATTTCTACCCCACTTGTGCTTGTTACAACTATCAATCTGTCCGCACTTGCATGAAAAATTCAGATCTCGTCAGACCTCTGAAGCTAAGCAGGACAGAGTCTAAGCCAAAGTTTCCCTTAAAAGATTTCCAGCTTCTGTGAGAGTTGTTCCTCAAGAGCACAACAAAACCACTCAGCCACAAGTTATTGATTCGACACCATGACCAACATATGTGTTGTTCTGTCCAGAGCCCTCTCCTGCTCCTCCTGCTCCTCCTGACCCCTCTGGTTTTGAGCCTCTCCACATCCTGGGTTTCCCCTCTGCCGTCATCGCAGAACAGCTGACCCGCATCGAGACCGTGAGTCACACTGCATGAGACTGTAAACTGAGACGAGAGAGGTCTGAAGCCTAGTGTATACTTGCGCAGCGCGGCTTACGTCTGCGGTTGCGGTGGACCTACCTAAGCCCTATTTGTGTTATACTCCTTGCAGAGTTTTGAGGAGAATGTTGTAATCCCACAACCAACCACATGATGGCGATCTCATAGGAGTTGCCTGAGATACCAAAGGGCTCTCATTTACGCTGCTTCTTTCTCCTGTTCAGATCAAAAACATGAACAAACCGAGCTGTTTGAGATCATTACATGTGTTTCTACTGTAGGTTTATGTGATAGTTTTATGGACTCATTATTTCTTAACTCATTTAACTGTGATGTTGTGAATAAAGACACCGTTCTTGTTGGAAACATAGTTATTATTACATTGTATTCAGCACAAACAGAAAAAAAATAAGTGGTAAATATCTGAGGCAAACATCATACAAATTATAAGTGCAGGAGGAACGGAACAGACGCGATAAACTACGATTCAAACAAAGACAGGAACAGAGCAAAACAAACGACTGCACAGTTTATAAGTTAGCTGTATGTTAGATAGTCCACAGTCTCCTGTATATCAGGCTCTGAGCCCAAACTGCGTTTCCTTCGAAGCACAAAGCTCTCTGCTCCATAGTGCCTCGTCCATTGTCCCTGCTGCAGCCGCTTCATGCTTCCGCCCAATACACACACACGGACCAATCACAGCGGAGCTTCCTTGCGGACGACCCTTACGTAGTTAGAAAATTTCTAGGGTGCGCGGCAGGCAATGTAAGGGCCTTGCGGTGATCCACGCGTTGCACAAGTGACGTCATGTGGTCTACAGAGGTTTTAGTCTGTATGTATACTGAGACAGAAAGGTCTGAGTCTGTATGTATACTGAGACAGAAAGGTCTGAGTCTGTATGTATACTGAGACAGAAAGGTCTGAGTCTGTATGTATACTGAGACAGAAAGGTCTGAGTCTGTATGTATACTGAGACAGAAAGGTCTGAGTCTGTATGTATACTGAGACAGACTGAGTCTGTATGTATACTGAGACAGACTGAGTCTGTAAGTATACTGAGACAGACTGAGTCTGTATGTATACTGAAACAGAAAGGTCTGAGTCTGTATGTATACTGAGACAGACTGAGTCTGTATGTATACTGAAACAGAAAGGTCTAAGTCTGTATGTATACTGAGACAGAGGACTGAGTCTGTATGTATACTGAGACAGAGGTCTGAGTCTGTATGTATACTGAGACGGAGGTCTGAGTCTGTATGTATACTGAGACAGAAAGGTCTGAGTCTGTATGTATACTGAGACAGAAAGGTCTGAGTCTGTATGTATACTGAGACAGAGGTCTGAGTCTGTATGTATACTGAGACAGAGGACTGAGTCTGTATGTATACTGAGACAGACTGAGTCTGTATGTATACTGAGACAGAGAGATCCTAGTATTTGAGTCCAGTTGGATAGATAGATAAACTACACAACTATACATATGAAATACAGTGTCAGGGACTGTTCAAAGCTGTAATGTTGTGTATCTGCGGCAGGAGCTGTTCGTGCGCCTCGCGCCTTACCACTGCCTGGGCTCGCTCTGGTCTCAGCGGGACAAGAAGGGGCGTGAGGGCCAGTGCTGGTCAGTGCGGGCCACAGTGAGACAGTTCAACAGACTGACCAACACGGTGCTGGCCTCCTGCCTGTGGGACACTCGCCTGCGCAGCCACCAGAGGGCGCAGCTGCTGGACAAGTGGATCCGCGTGGCTCAGGTCAGTGCTGCGCCCCGACATGCTCTCAGGAAGCATTTACAGCTAGCCAAGAAGCAAAGCAGCTACTTGTATTGTATATTTAGCGTACTCCCTGTGTGCTTACTTCTGTCCTGTATGTGCGCTGCAACTACTGTATGACATTTCCCTACTGTGAGAGGAATAAAGATTCAAAGTCATAGCTCGCAAATGATTGTTCTTGGCCCCCGGGATGATTTTTGATTCACTTTCGAACTGGTCGCACAGAGCCGTAAGCCGTTTTCTCCTTGAAGGAAGTTTGTTTTTGTCTGTGGCCTGTTGAAGATTCTTTTCACACTTGAAATGACTGACCATCCATCCATCCATCCATTTTCTACCCTTTAATCCATTTCTGGGTCAGGGGGGTGACAGTCAGAGATGCCACCCAAGTCTCATAGCACCAGCCCCTCACTGATCCTCTGCAGGTGGTGAGTCCACAGGAGGACGGCTGCTCTCTGAGTGTGAGCATAGCCTTGATCTTTCAGTGGGGGCTTTGGGCAAAGTGGGGTTAAGTGTCTTGCCCAAGGACACAACGACAGCAGTCATCAGTGGGAGTCGGTGGAGAAGGTGTGGAGGTGGGAATTGAACCCACGACCTTCAGGCCTGATGGCCAGTGCTCTACCAACTGAGCTACTGTCGCCCCAGTCTCTGTCGTCTGAAATGACTGACAGAGACAGAAAAATATATTGGATTATTCTTTTAATCATTAAATTAGTTATGGTCCACTGTATTAGGTCATGTTTGTTCAATAGGTTATATGCATCATTTTAATATGTTTTGATCAACTTTAAACCAGTCTGGTCCTCGGCTTGTAGCAAATTCTTTTTTTTAACCTGTAATGTATTTGACTTTGCCCTAGTTCATTATAAATATTCAGGCATATTTATTTATGTTAAACCAATAAATGATACGGACTCCAAAGTCACATGTGTCAAGAATCTGTGTCTCTGTAAACATAAACAAGTCTAAAACATGAGCTGTGTGTCTCAGGCGTGTCGAGCCAGGAAGAACTTCTCCTCTCTTTATGCCATCGTGTCAGCGCTGCAGAGTAACCCACTGCACCGACTGAGGAGGAGCTGGGCACACATGGACAAGTGAGACACACACACAGACACACACACATACGCACACAAACACACTAATACACGAATACACACACACAGAGGAGTGCACGTTTCTGGGTTTAACTCTGTCTAACGACCTGAAATGGGTTAAAAACACTGACCGAGTCGTTAAGAAAGCTCGTCAGCGTCTCTACTTTCTGCGTAAACTTAGAGAATTTACCACTAACTCTAAGATTCTGCTTAACTTTTACTGCTGCACCATTGAGAGTTTACTTGTTGGTTCTGTGTCTGTGTGGTTTGGAAACATCACAGATAAAGAAAAGAGAGCTTTAAACAAGGTGCTCCGCTCTGCAAAGAGGACCGTGGGCTGTGAGCTTCCTGTTCTGGAGGTTCTTTATAAATCCAGACTTTTAAACAAAGCTCTTAGGATTGTTAATGACTCTTCTGGCCACCCTGGGAAAGCCATGTTCCAGCTTCTTCCCTCTGGCAGAAGATATCGCTCTCTGAGATGCAGGACATCTCGATATGATAACAGCTTCTTCCCACAAGCTGTTATCAGTGTGAACAGAGCACTTTAATGATTTGCACTTTGTATTGAAATTGTTTTAGTCGATCGATTTCACAGTGACACTTGTTTACTGTTTTATTTCTGTCTTTTAATGTTGTTTTATGTCTGTACTTGTGCACACTGGGGACTTTTGCTAATGTATTCCAATGTGGTTTTACTGCAAATGGCAAATAAATGAATCTGATCTGATCTGACACACGCACACACAGTATCCCTCTACACCAGCTGAGGAGGAGGTGGGCACACATGTGAGACACACACACACACACACACACGTACACACAGAGACACACACACACGTACACACAGAGACACACACTGTGAGAAATAAGTGAATATTCAAAAGGAATAGTAGTCTATACGCACAGCTTTTCCTCACCTCACACTTGTTTCCATATAATGATTGTCAAAAATTGAATGTGTGTGTCTTGTCTGTGTGTGTGCCTGTCTGTGTGTGCGTGTGTGTGTGTGTGTGTGTGCTCACAGAGAGTCTGTGAAGAAGTATGAAGAACTGTCTGAGATCTTCTCCGACAAAGACAACTATTCCCAGAGCCGAGAGCTGCTGAAGGAGGTGAGTCCCAGAGGATCCAGAGCAGTCGCTTTCTCAGAGGACTTTACAAAACTGTCAATCCTCCAACACAGATCAGAGAATGTGACCGAATGAGACATCAGATCAGAGAATCAAGATAAGATAAGATGGACTTTATTGATCTCACACTGGAGAAATGTACATGTCACATTTGGCAGTTCAAACACAGGAAAGGTTTTGTTAATCAGTTGTTTAGAAAACGTAATACATTATGTATGACTATTTCTTATTACTGTTATTTCAAAAGAATGTGTTACACTACAATATTACTGTATCTGAATTGTAATGCATTACATTATTACTGCATTACTTTGAAGTTACTTTCCCCAAATATATACAGTAAAAAAAAAAAAAAAAAAAAAAAGAAAGGATTATGATTTAATTATCTCAAGTTCAATTATCATAAATTGATTTAAGTCTAATATTCGAAGGGGTTGTTAAACTTGGGGTAAACCGGTTCAGTCCTGGTTGTCCTGGCTCAGTCCTGGTTCAGTCCTGGTTCAGTCCTGGCTCAGTCCTGGTTCTGTCCTGGTTCAGTCCTGGTTCTGTCCTGGTTCTGTCCTGGTTCAGTCCTGGTTCAGTCCTGGTTCTGTCCTGGTTCTGTCCTGGTTCTGTCCTGGTTCAGTCCTGGTTCAGTCCTGCTGCTTTAATTACTAAACATGATGGAAGTGCATCATTTTTGCCGCTGTTTAAAACGTCTCATCTTCGCTCATATTTTCCGCCCGTCGCGTGGTGTCTGCCTCTGTCTCAAACAGACTCTTTTGGAATGCTTAGTTTAGACTCTCATCTGTCCATAGGCCGCATGTCTCTGTTCATACCTCTACTTTGAGCCCGTTTTTAATTCTCTTATTTTCTTTGGCGTTTATTGGCTGCACCTGAGGCTTGGACTGCCTTTTCATAATAATGTTGACCAAAAACACGCGAGGCTGCCCCTCCCCCACCTACTCACCTTGGCGTGGCAAGAGTGCAGCCTCCAGCAGCAGGGTTCAATTTTTATTAAGTTTTTTGTACACATAAATTGTTTTTTTTTTATCTTACGTGATGGGAAACACTTAACAGAATAATAAAAACGTAAACAAGGCTCCTGTGGACTCACCACCTGCAGGAGGATCAGTGAGGGGCTGGTGCTCTGTGACTGGGTGCCGCTCTGACTGCCACCCCCCCGACCCAGAAATGGATTAAGGGGAAGAAAATGGATGGATGGAAAAAAATTTCAAATTTTTTTTTTTTTTTTTATGACTGCAATTTTGCGCCCCATCCTGCAGATGGCACCCCAGCCTATGCCCTGGGACGGCCCAGCATAAAGGACAAATCATAAATGTCCATAAAGTCTATAAATGTTGTTGAAATGTCTCAACAGTCCAGCGCCACCTCCTGGTCATTAGTGGAATTATACAAACATCCTGTAAACATGATTTAAACGTAATGCAGTTCGTCATCACGTGTTTATTATGCAGACACTGAGGTTTACTGAAGATGTGGCTCGTTCCTCTAAAGTGTGTGAGTGAGAACAGGCCGAGGAGGAGGTCAGCAGGAGCCTCTGAGATCAGCAGGAGCCTCAGAGGTCAGCAGGAGCCTCTGAGATCAGCAGGAGCCTCTGAGATCAGCAGGAGCCTCTGAGATCAGCAGGAGCCTCAGAGGTCAGCAGGAGCCTCAGAGGTCAGCAGGAGCCTCAGAGGTCAGCAGGAGCCTCAGAGATCAGCAGGAGCCTCAGAGATCAGCAGGAGCCTCAGGTCAGCAGAAGTCTGAGGTTAGCAGGAGCTTCAGAGGTCAGCAGGAGCCTGAGGTCACAGAGGACCAGTGTCGTAGACAGAGGCTCAGGGACCTACACACAGTTCAAAGTGCATGTGACATAAATGTGTGGTGTTCCAGGAGATATCATCCTCGTCCACGGTCCTGGAGCAGAGGCTGAACCACAGGAACTCCCCCAGAGTAAGTGCTCTTCAGGCGGGTGAGGGTCAGGTGTGTGTGTGTGACCTCTGACCTCTGATTCTGTCCAGACATCTGCCCAGGGAACAGTGCCCTATCTGGGGCTCTTCCTGACCGACCTCACCATGCTGGACACGGCCGTCAAGGACCGGCTGGACGTGAGTTTGTTCATAACTGCTACAGTTTAACACATATGTTAAACTATGATTGATTTTAGCTACATTTATATTTATTGTAGTAAAGTTGATGAATGAACTTTCTTTCGCTGCACTGTTCATTTTAGAGCAGATCTGATGCATTATTAGTCTTTCATGGGGCGTTCAGACCGGATCTTTACATTGCAGCGACTAAAATAAACATATGGCGCACCTCAGTGAACACATACTTCTGTTATATAAAGTCTCTGAAGGTCTCAGACACAGAGACGCTGCAGAGCTGCATTATTGGAGAAGATCTTCACACAAAAAGCCGCTAGCTTAACTCCGTTTGCATCAAAGCCCGCCGGCTACTTCCGCCCTGCGGTTTTTTCCCACCGCAGACCAGGACTGGTCTGAATGCCCTTTGCCTCTGAAATTTAGAGACTGTGCGTCCAATGCGTGTGGAAGCTGCGTTCCAGCGTCGGCGGTCTGAACGCCCTATAGAATAGGAAATCATTCCTTAAAGCTGCACTAACTGACTTTATTTTTGTATTCATTACGAAAGTGCTATCCATGTCCATGCAGTGCATTGGGATATACGTCCTTTTGAAGAAAAAGTAGCGCAGATTTGTTCTGGCGTGACATTATATTTTAGATCGAAGTTTTGATGAAACAAGGAAGAGAATGTGTTTCGGGTCGCAGATTGTGACCAATCACAGCGGCCCACTGGCGCCCACTTTCGTGAGAAATCTACGGGTCTGTCGTTAGCACAGACAGCTGAGTTAGCACAGACAGCTGAGTTAGCACAGGCGGCTGAGTTAGCACAGACAGCTGAGTTAGCACAACAAGCGGCGGAGCTAACCTGAAACTTCCTCGTCTTTGTCACCGGTTACTGCTTACACAGCGAGACAGCCATCCAAAAGAAAGTCCTGTTCCTCCGCGCTTCCCGGTTCTATCGTTCTATGGTCACGCCATCCACGTGCAAATCCATATCCATGTATTATCCATATTGGGAGACGCTAGCTCCGTCAACTACAGTGGGTGTGTGTGGGGGGGGCGATAGCTTCGTGGGTGCGGGGAGGGGAGCAGACAGAGCGAGGCCAGCGAGTCCGCGTTTTCAAAATCCCAAAGTCAGTTAGTGCAGCTTTAAGTTGAATAAATGGGGTATACGATGATATTGATTAGTGAAACAGCTCCATCTAGTGGTAGAAGAGGAGCATTTCTGTAGAATTTAACATGGTGCAATCTAACTCTGTTTTCTTCGTCTTTACAGAACGGATACGTGAACTTTGACAAGAGGAGACGGGTGAGTCTGCGGCGATTACTGTTACAGATGCATTGACACCGATTGGTGGCATCTATTGTTGACTGTCAAAACAATATTGCTAAAATCTTTATTGTTGTTGAGATGAAAAAAAAAAATTACATTTTGTTTAAAAAAATTCCCAGGGATAACACAATGCAGTGCTCGTATTGGTTTTGAAAAAAGAGGTATCGGTGCATCCCTAATTACTGTGTAACCCTAGCCCTGTGTCTGTCTGTCTCTAATATCAAACTATTAGAACACAATGAAATGCAATAATAAACCACTAAAAGTCATCGTTGTCCGTTGGAGAACAGGTTGATCAATGTCCTTTAATGTCCCGACCGTCCCCAGGCTAACGCTAACACTATCCAGGTACAATAACACATCCATGGAGCATAGGCCAAAGAACGCAGGCCTTTGACTTGAACGGGCAGAAAGATCAACCAAGATCATGTTTAAGGACCTAAGTGACAGTTAATCCTTATTCTTTAAAGCTGGGGACGTGACTTTTAAACACAAAAGCTGGTCCCTCGCTCCAAAACACTTTCCTAGTTTTCAGCTTGGTGTGTGTTCGGCCTCTTGCTTTATCAGATCACACTCTTTCTGTTGGGACAAATAAAGGTTTCTCTCTTTAAATCCACGTTCTGTAGATTATGTCCTGGATCTATTGCCCGTCCGTCCGTGTAGGAGCGGATCCCTCTCTCAATATGTGGGTCTCCCCGAGGTTTCTCACTTTTTTCCCACGGAGTTTTAGAGTTTTTCCTTTCCGATGCAGGAGTTAGTCAGTTGAACAGTTAGTGTCAACAAAAAGGGTGTGGTGATGATCCAGGACACTTTAACATTCTACAACATGTATGACAGTTATCAACATGTGTTCTGTATTATTTATGTGTTTTAACTGTTGATTCTCTGATCTGTGTTGGTGATTTCAATGGTTTTGTTAAGTTCTTTTAGATTATACTGTTGTGATTTAGAGCTGTACAAGAATAAATAGAATTGTATTGTATTGTATTATTTACATTTGTCATTCTTTTCTTTTAGTCCCATAATAACCTCTTGTTCTTGCAGGAGTTTGAGGTCCTGGCTCATATCCGCCTCCTGCAGTCCTCCTGTAAGAAGTGCAGCTTCCACCGGGAACCGGCCTTTGTGCATTGGTACCAGAGTGTACCGGAGCTGACCGAGGCCGACAGGTGGGACCAGACACACTCACACAATGATATTCATATACATTTATACTGATTAACCTCATAATATAATCTGTAGTAAGCATTCATTTACTTCTAATTTTAATTCAAAACTGTACGCTACTACCTGCGATAGTATTTCTCTCTTTTACTTAAGGAAGTTATTTTCTGTTTGCAGTTACAGATTGTCCAATCAGATTGAAGCGATGGGAGAGCCCAGCCCCCGCGGAGCCACCCCCACTGTCATTGTCACACAGTGTTCTGAGTGAGTCCTCTGCTGTGTGTGTGTATGTGTGTGTCCTGATATTTACTCATGTGTGTGTCCTCAGCTTGAGTGGTTCTCGCTCCAGTCTGCCCACAGACTCTGACGGCCTGTTCGACTTCTCATCTCCAGTCAACCACCTGCTGTCCAAGCTCACCAAGGTAACACACACACACACACACACGCACACACATTGTGTTTCGGCCTAAACCACAACAGTAGTTATCTCAGACTTTACAAAGCTGTCGATTCTCCAACACAGATCAGAGAATTAAATATAAGAAATGCAATGATAAAAACACATAGATCCAATGTCCGTAAATGTTAATAAATGTCCATAGATGTTGTTGAATGTCAATTGTCCTGGATCCTCACTGTCCTTGATCCAGGACTGAGGCTGTAGAACCAGGACCGAGGCCACGCAATGCAGGACTGAGGCAGTTCCCAGGCGGGGAGGGGATGCAGCCCACGAGTCCGGGCCGGGGGGGGACCAGACTTCTCCAGCAGGGGGCTCCATATGCTCTTTATATTTACGACAGGCAAATGAGAACTATTGCGACTGAAGTCGTAGACCAGTTCACATGTTTTGGATGCGTTCAACTGGAGGTTGTTAGTTTTACTCCACTGAACCACATTTTGTATCTCTGCTCTATAAGAGGATTCATCAGTGTCACTGATGAGACCGATGATGGTGGTGTCATCAGCATATTTGATGATCAAGTTTGAGTCAGAGGAGGACACACAATCGTGAGTGTACAAAGTAAAAAGCAAAGGACTCAAAATACATGCCTGAGGAGAACCAGTGCTCACAGAAGCAACATCAGAAAAACAGTCATTGATTTTCACTCTCTGAGATCTGTCAGTTAAAAAGCTAAAAATCCATTTACACATGACAACACTTAAACCGAGAGACATGAGCTTTTCAATCAGTTTACCTGGGACAAGGCAGTTAAAAGCAGAGCTATAATCGATGAAAAGCATTCTGGCGACAGATTTACTAGTGTCCAAGTGACTGTAGACAGAGTTCAGAGCAAAGGAGATGGCATCCTCCACACTCCTATTCTGTCTGTAAGCAAACTGGAGCGGGTCAACACTCACAGGGATCTGGCTCTTAATGAAGTCCAACACAAGCCGCTCAAAAGTCTTCATAAGAACAGACGTGAGGGCCACAGGACGATAGTCATTCAGGCATGTCACAGGAGTTTTCTTAGGAACTGGAATGATGGTCGACTCTTTAAAGCAGTTCGGCACAGTACAGTTCCTTAGCGACAGGTTGAAAATGTCTGTTAGCACAGGGGCAAGTTGCTCAGAGCACAGTTTCAGGACACGAGGAGGGATGCCGTCCGGGCCTGGGGCTTTCCGGACTGTGGTCCTGGACAAGACACGCCTGACTTCCTCCTGAGTCACGGTGAAGGTACCTTGATTGAAACACTCAGGGAATACAGTAGGACAGGCATCAGCGGATTCAAAGCGACAGTAGAATGTGTTCAGCTCGTTTGGCAGAGCTTGGCCGACAGATGCAGTTTTCCCAGCGCTAGGTTTCCACGATGTGATGGCTTTAATACCGTTCCACATGCGCCGAGGGTCATCTTCCTCAAAATAACCCCTTAACCTATCCCCGTAACTGTGCTTTGCAGATTTAATAGAGCGTTTCAATGAGTAACAGGATAGCTTATAAGCAACTGTATCATTTGATTGAAACGCCAAAGCACGCTCATGAAGTTTCAGTTTCACTTCCGCGTTCATCCAAGGGTTTTGACTAAAATGTTCTTTAATGACCTTCTGTGGGACACAGCAGTCAATACAGAAGCGTATGTATCCAGACACAGCGTCACAGAATTCATTTACGTCCTCTAACTGAAACACAGACCAGTCCGTAGCATCAAAACAACCTTGTAGCTTCATGCTAGCCTCCTCGGACCAACACTGCACAGTGCGAGAGGTTGGTTTATGTTCCCTGCTCCTCTGAGTATACGAAGGAAGAAGGAGAACAGAGGAGTGGTCAGACTTTCCAAAAGGAGGTCTGAGACTGGACCTGTAAGCTCCCTTCACGTTACTGTAGCAGTGATCCAGAACATGTGCTCCTCTTGTAGCTCGAGTCACATGTTGGTAAAAGTTCGGGAGTACAGTCTTTAAATTACATTTATTGAAATCCCCAGCAACAATGATGACTGCGTTAGGATGAGCGTTTGTGAAGGATCTCGCTCAGATCCTGTAGGGCTACTTTGTAATCCGCACGTGGGTGAATGTAAACAGCACATAAAAATATCACTGAAAACTCACGGGGAAGATAAAAAGGGCGGCAGCTCAAGACCAGGCATTCCAGATTGGCAGTACATGTTTGGTTCACGATTCGAGTGTCCGTGCACCAGCGCTGATTAATTAAAAAGCACACACCTCCGCCTCTGGCCTTGCCCGTGGTCTCCTTCACTCTGTCCGCGCGGTGAGCGGTGAATCCCGGGGGCTGAACAGCAGAGTCCGGGACGTTCGAGTGGAGCCACGTCTCGCTGAGGCAGAACACAGCGCAGTCCCGGGCCAGGCGCTGGCTCTGGACACGACACAGGAGCTTGTCCGTCTTGTTGGGCAGAGACTGGACGTTGGCCAGGTAGATGGAGGGCAAAGTGGTCCTGGAGGAGCGGCTACGAACGAGCAGACCGCCTCCCCTTCCCCGGTGTCTGCGCCTCCTTCGCCGACTCGAGGTGCCCAGCTCCACACCGCGGAGAGAACGCCGGAGACGCCCAGTCCCCCCGCTCTGTTGGCGGCCACCGCCGCGGCCCGCCTGCCGTGCTCCACCAGCCTCTCGAGTGGGACACTCGAGGAAGTTTGTGCACCTCAGTTCAGGTAAAACGAGTGACCCGTCACACGCGTGGTCCCGAATGTACAGAAGTGTTTGCCGATCATATTTCACTGTGGCAAGTGAATCCCAGACGAAAAACAACAAAACCCAGATTGTGCGCACCAGAGCGTTCACTGCGGCACCCTGACACGGCGCCATCTTGCTAGTCCTCATGCTCTCTCTCTCTCTCTCCAGATTGAAAATCTGTCAAAAAATTGGAAAAACTTTGTCTTGCACCAATGTGGTTTTACTGAAAATGGCAAATAAATGAATCTGAATCTGAATCTGAAAACTATTGGTCCTCCTAATTTTCAATCATTCTGGCGATACAGCGCTCGTCAGATGGAACCAGAGAGTTTTGTTCAAAAAGTGTGAAAATCTTCCTATACCTTTGAAGGTTGTATTTCTTAGTCTTCCCTGAGTCTTACCAACCAAACCATACGCTGAATTAAAAACTTTTTTAAGCCTGGCCTAGAATGTAGAGACTGCGTCTGTTGTGTGTCAAACCCAGGGGTGTCCAAACTTTTTCGTAAGAGGGCCACTTTAGTTCACTAGACTTGTTTTGTGTGAAATTGGCTGAATGACATCTTCACACCTGAAAAGGTACATCCGTTTTTCTGAAAAAGGTATAAGTGCCATGGAATTTTGTCAGTGGTACTTTGTGGGGGCAAAGCAGAGGGCCACAAATAATGACGCAATGGACTCTATGCACACACCACTTCTGTGTTTTAGTTATAACGGCACATGACTTCCGGTGCGCGGGGATCGGCTCGAGTTTCAGAAGATGTTTACACGATTTTCCTAAATAATGCTCAAACAGTAAATTGCAGTGGATTGTGGGACACAGCAGTGCTCTTTGATTGTGCTGTCATTGTGCTTTTAAAACGTTTACAAATCTCTCTGAGTGGCCACAGTCAAAGCTATTCCTCAGAGAGAGAGCATAGCGACACTTTTGGGTCAGTCTCACAACTGAATGTATCTAATTACTAAAAAACGTTCCTCTTGCCACAACTTCCAACTTGCCACAATGCCATAGGCAGGAAGTAAACGAGCTGTTCTTTGTTAAATGACGTACGTATCCCCGTGCATACAGCCCATTGGCCCTCGGGTCTTAGTTTGGACATACTAGGTCTAATGTGTGTAATCGGACTTGTGTTGACGTGTGTCTCCGTTCCCAGCAGCACATGCGCTCTCCCTCGGTGTCCTGCCTGGATGTGGACTCCTCTCCTCCCGCTGCAGACCCAGGCCCTACCCTCAGCCCCTCCTCCCCCTCTAAGTCTCACCGTCGCTCGGCCTCCTGTGGGAACAACCCCCCAGGAGGCCCCCACAGCTCGGGGCCCGACATGCGCATCATTCGCATCCGCATGGAGCTGCAGGATGGGAACCTGTATCGCAGCATCCTGGTACTGACCTGGTCCCTGAGAGGGACCTCTCTGTCCTCTGCTTAGAAGACAGACAAACCGACCGACAGACAGACTGACAGATAGACCGCCCCATAGATAGATAGACTGACAGATAAATATGTCTAACACGAGGTCCTGTTGTACCTCTGTGCCGTCCAGGTGACCAGTAACGACAAGACCCCTGTGGTCATCAGCAGTGCCTTAGAGAAACACAACCAGGACCCGAGAGAGAGCGGCCTCTACCAACTGCTGCAGCTGCTGCCTGACGGCAAAGGTCTGAGCCCTGAGATTCCTATTTCCTAAGAATGTTAGTGTTAAATGCAATAGTTACTGTATAGACCTGTCTATAGACCATATCAGTTCATATACAAACGTCGACCTTGAGTATTGAGTATCTCCTCTCTCCACTCTTTCCTCTGTCTTCTCTCCTCTCTGTCTTCTCTCCTCTCTGTCCTCTGTCTTCTCTCCTCTGTCCTCTCAGAGCTGCTCATCCCACCCACAGGAAATGTCTTCTACGCCATGACCTCGTCCAGTGTTGACTTCCTGCTGAAAAGGAAAGCCGGGACCGCACCCCCTCAGCCAATCAGCACGGAGACCAGCGCCACCTTCCCACGAATCAAGGCCAAGGGACGGCGGCTCGTACGGACGCTTTTCTGACCTCCTGACCCTGGTCCTCTGCTCCTGACCCTGGTCCTCTGCTCCTGACCCTGGCCTGGTGCTGGTCCTCTGCACCTGACCCTGGCCCGGAGCTGGTCCTCTGCTCCTGACCCTGGCCTGGAGCTGGTCCTCTGCTCCTGACCCTGGCCTGGAGCTGGTCCTCTGCTCCTGACCCTGGCCTGGTCCTCTGCTCCTGACCCTCTGCTCCTGACCCTGGCCTGGTGCTGGTCCTCTGCTCCTGGCCTGGTGCTGGTCCTCTGCTCCTGACCCTGGCCTGGTGCTGGTCCTCTGCTCCTGACCCTGGCCTGGTCCTCTGCTCCTGACCCTGGCCTGGTGCTGGTCCTCTGCTCCTGACCCTGGCCTGGTGCTGGTCAGACTCGGACACAAAGACGTCGTTGCTTTTACTCTGGAGAAGTTGTATTGAGTTCAGAGCCTTCTCACAGCACGGCCGTCTCTTAAACATGTGATATAAATGCTCATGTCTGAACGTTGAGCTGAAACTCCAAAAGTAATGACCGGAAAAGAAATAACCAGCAGAAAAAATAGATTTTATGAATGTTTACATTTGTATATTGTTTTACCAGGAATTTGTTTTAGAAGAAACAACCGTAACAAAGACATGAGTCATAGTTATATAATAACTATATTTACAGAAACTTTTGTTACGTCACATCATTCTATTTTCAAGAGTTGTTATTTTACACAGAGGGAAATGTCTTATATTTTTATTCATGATAAAGTTGATGATCTGAAAACCTAAGATCTCACCAGCGGCTCTGGAAAAGCCTGTTCATCTCTATGCATCCAATACTTAAAGACTTTCTCTTTTTGCTTGAATGACTGCATCAAATTCAAATCCACTTTATTTATATAGCACATTCCAAAGCAGTTTGCATCGATGTGGTGTCGTTGCTCTGATCCATTCTCTTTATCCTTTGGTTTGTGACTCTGTTTGGCCCAGTGTGGGCGGGGCCCGGCTCCAAAGGGGCCGTGAGACACATGTCTGTAATCTGGTGTTGTACTGGCAACAGAATTATCCTCTGAATTATTACGGCGCCTTCTTTCCTCTCAAAAACCTCTTTACAGCATGGTCCAAAAGTTGCTCTTGGCCCAACTCTATGATCCAGACGCTGTTAATGCTGAGGGGAGTTTATTTTTATGGACCAGTCTAGTTTAGGCGCTGTGGACTTTAGAATGTACTTGTTAAATGAATGGGGCTCATGCCGCTAACGCATGCGCAATTACGTTTTTTTGTTTTTACATTTACCTGCGGGAGGGGCTGCTCGCGGGCATTTCCAAAGAGACGGCAGGAGAGAAAAGTGATGACACATAAGTTTCAACGGCAGAGAGATCTGTTAATATTTACAGTCTATGATTTGAACACTGGTGTGCGAGACAGAGGGTCCTGGTCTGAGGGTCTCCTCTGGACCTCAAGGACCTTCAGAGGACCTCAGGGACCTGCTGGTGCTGTGGGAAGGCTCTCCTCTCACACTCCTCAGGCATCTCTCTAACTCTCTCTAATCTGTTTCAGTTCGTACAGCATCACCAGACTTCAGCGTCTCTCTCATCTCTTTTTACTTTGCTTTTGTTATCGCTGCAGTCAGAGGCTTAAAGGGGAACCGTACATCCATCCATCACCTTCCGCTTCATCCAGTGCCAGGTCACAGAGGCAGCCCACCAGTTCCACCAGGGGAATCCTGAGGCGTAGGTCCACCAGCCTCCTGACCACTCAGAATGTCCAGATACGTCACATAACCAAAGCAGCCAGAACAGTTTATGCAAATGAGCCTCCTGCTTCAGTGGGTCTCATCAAACTGCTGCTGTGATGTAAACCGGCTCAAAGCTTCTGTTCTGACCACACACTCCATCTGAGGTTCTGCTGAAGGAGCTAGGAAAGGAAGCATACAGCCTCCTCCCCCTAGCTCCTTCTATAGACTCCTCCCCTTTAGCGCCTACTACAGACTCCTCCCCCTTTAGCTCCTACTACAGACTCCTCCCCCTTTAGCTCCTACTACAGACTCCTCCCCCTGGCTCTTTCTTCAGGCTCCTCCCCCTACCTTTATCTATAGCAGACCTGGGCAAATCAAGTTTCCATGTAGAACTCAGACCTTTTCCCATCTGCAAACTCGTCTCCTCCTATTTAAATGATCGGGAATCAACCCCCAATGAAGGTTTTCAACTTCCTGAGTGCTACAATGGCCTGTTATACCTCAGAATAATTAATCAAAAACACTCATCTGTCAACAATACTTCTTTAGCTTTAGTCCAGTGTTGGTTCAATCCAAGCAAGAATTGAAATTTAAAGACAACTCAAAATTATAATCCAAATAAATACTCATCTACCATCTTATAAAAGGTTTACTAAACAGTCTTTACACTCAAAGACAACATTGTGTATCTTCCGGTTTCCCTCTCCTTTTGACTGAAGTTTCTAAAGCTTTCTAAAGGAGCTATACCCGTTTATGCATTAGCATGAGCGCAACTTCTTGTAAGCTGTACTGATGAAATGGAACAAAAGCAACGCACTGCTAACAAAATATATAACTGAAAGATTACAGCTAGTTTCACGTCTGAATGTAGTCCGAGCATAGATAGTCCGAGCGTAGATAGTCCGAGCGTAGATAGTCCGAGCGTAGATAGTCCGAGCGTAGATAGTCCGAGCGTAGATAGTCCGAGCGTAGATAGTCCGAGCGTAGATCGTCAGAGCGTAGATAGTCCGAGCATAGATAGTCCGAGCATAGATAGTCCGAGGCGGTCCCGCAGGTCTCTCCCATAGACAAGTCTCTCCAGAGGTTACGATGTAAGCTAGCTATGTTCACCCGGGCTTGATTTCTTCTTTGATCATTTCTTTCTTTAGTTCCCTCTTCTCTTCCTCACTGTTGTGTCGTTTGGGCTGTTTTGCTGTGTCTGCAGTTACAGCCTGAGGAGTTATAGCCACTTATGCTAACATGCTACTGTGTTTAGCAGCGCTGTAGAGGCTAGAGGACGCAGCCTCGTTCTGTGATTGGAGGAGAACGGGCGTCACGATAAGTCTCTACTCAGCACTTTCATATGGCCTGAATTCATACACAGCTGAATCAATGAGCTCAAGTTATCAATTAAATTACGGATTATAAAACAACTTGTATGAAGTAATAAGCATTTTTATGAACTCATAAAAAAAAAATCGGGTATAGCATCTTTAGATATGTTTCAAAATAAAGTGAACAATAACCACATGTAAACGAGTCCGACCCTTCAAAATGTACCGATATCCCAATGTGTATCCCAATGAGACAATTGCCCACCCCTGCTCTACAGGCTCCTCCTCTTTTCTCATTCTGGCTCCTCCCCCTAGCTCCGCCCTCTGTCCTAGCTCCCTGCACTATTCCCAAGCTTCTAATCGACAAATCTGAAGATTGCTCAATAATTTGGCATATTTGGACCCAGCCACAGTCCCTCCAGTTTGTCATTGGACCTGGGGCTTCTCTTTGGGCAATGACCCAAAGGACGAGGCGGCATGGGCTGTCTTTAAAGTATAAGATAGAGATCCATCCTTTCCTCACTGTGAATAAGATCCAAAATAGATGATTCTGGAACATAGAGTGGAAGAGAGAAAGCAGCTGATGGACCCCCGCCTCTAAACGAACATGGAGCACCGTTTAAATAGGCTTATATTTGTTGTGTTTTCTTGTGAGCTCTGATTGGATGAGTGTCTGTGAAGCCTGTGATTGGCTGAGGCATGAGCGGTCAGGGTTTGTGCCTTTGTGTGTATGTGAGAGTCCAAGTTATTTATGCACTACAGAGAATGTCCTATTTTTGCAGTAATAAAAATACTTTATACAGACGCTGTGTGACGTGTGCTGACTGAGCCTCAAAGGCACGCAAGAAAGAACAAACACTTCAGGTTTTTTTATTTATTTATTTATAAAAACCTGTTAAACAGCACCTAGCAGAAAGGACCGTCTGAGCTAATAGTAAAGATACATAATTAAAAACAACTCTGGTTTGACAGCTGTGGGAGTCCTTTAATGTGACGGCTTTTAGTGTTGGAAGTGTACCGACTCATTGTTGCTCTTCATAACTGTCAGTAGTGAGTAGTTCTACCTCTAACTCTCACAGCCGTCATTTTGTTTCTAACTTTTAATAAAAATGTATAACTTCTTGGGGCAATTACTCCATTGGTTTGAATGGGAGCAGTCAAAATGACGGCTCTGGGAGTTCTAGTAGTTTCAGAATTGTGGGAGTCCTTGTGTTAAGGCAAAGGAGCAAAGTGAAAGCTTAGATTTGTTTAGTCATTTCATTGTTTATCAATGGACATTAAGTTTTTAAACTAATTCATTGAAAAACATGTCCACTGTATAATCCTACAGCTCTGGCCCCTGCACTCCTGACAGAGGCCCTAGAGGCATCAGGATGGGTCAAATGCAGAGGACAAAGTTCCCTGCAGGGAGGAATAAAGTGCACATACATTATGCAACAGTCTGCAACATTAGAGGAAAAGTTTGTGTAAGCCCTCAGTCGTACAGGGATTAGTCAAAGCAAAGGAAGGTTTCTCACCCATCATCTGTACTTCTTAGCAAGTTTTCCCGACGTTTCGTCCTCAACCTGGGGACTTCTTCAGGGAATGACAAGACCAGGGCGTCTCTCCCAAAGTTGGCAACGATAAGTTTGTGTAAGCCCTCAGTCGTACAGGGATTAGTTAGTATTAGTATTAGAGGAAAAGGACCAAAAGATGATCTGAACTCAGGAGCCACAGTCTCCTCACGTGGGATTTTAAGTTAAAATATGAGTTTTACATGAGATGGTGACAGAATCATCAGAATCAGAATCATTTTTATTGCCACGTAAGTAACAAAAGTCACCACTTGGAAATTGCTTTGGCAGAGCATGCCACGGCGCTATCTTGCGGCACTGTGCAACAAGCAAGAAACAGCAGAGAGCAGTAACATACACGTTTACACAGACAGTTTGGGTAAACACAGTATGTTTTGGATAAAACACGGACCTCTTTCTTGGGGTCAGACCTCCGACAGCCCCAGACGACTGGGAAGTGAAATGAAATATGACTGGTCGGAATGCAGTGGTCACTAAACAGCATCATGAAGTCAGAGGAGCACATACACACTGGGAAAAAACATTAATGTTCAAACATAACAAAAAATAATGTAATTTGAACGAACGAGCGACAGCTTAAATATTTGAATACAATAATGGCATGATTTTTGTGTGAATTAGCAGCAAATGTAGATTCTGTGCTTAAATCACAAACAGTCTTGCATAGATAAAAGATCCTGTTGGAGAACTGGTCAGAATATGTCTTTTATCCGAGCGCACAGGGGGCTGTGGACAACAGCATTTGATAATGAAATTCGAAAATGGTTTTTAAGCTTAGGTCCCAGCCCTAACACATGCGCACGCACACGCACACAGCTCAGAGGTGAAGCCCAAGGATATTTGAGTAGATCCAAACAGTAGTAATTAAAAAACAATGAACAAATCTTTTCTCCGGTTCTTCTCCAGTGCAGAGGCTGTTTGTCTGTAGCTGTAGTTCCACAGTTGGTCAGCAGGTGGAGCTGTGTCCCCCACAGTCCTCACACAGCTCAGCAGCGCTTCTGTAGGCCTTCCACACATGGGGGTCCTGCACACACACTGTCCCCCCTCCTCTGTGCTCTTCCGCCTGGTTCCTGTTGATGTCCCCCACACAGACCCACCCCCCCGGCTCCTGGCCCTGGCCCTGGCCCTGGGGACTCACGGCCCATTTGGAGTGGTCCCGGCTGGAGGGGAAGGACACTCCTCCAGGGGACAGCTGCTGGACGTTCAGGACAGCCCAGTCCCCAGAGCAGTCTGAGGGCAGCACCCCAGAGGAACGTACCCAGAACTGCACCAGGAGAGGGGAGCACAGGGATGGGGACACCCAGCCATGGTACAGGTCTGCAGGGGGGAGGGGGGACAGAAGACAGAGGGGGTGTTAGCACAATGATTGTGCAAACATTTCATAGTTAGCACAATCTGGACCAGACCCAGACAAGTTCAACCTGGAGCTCGCTCAAAGGCTTTGATCGATGATATATGATTATAATATTGTCCCAATACTTTTGGACACTCAGAAAGTGGTATTCACATTTTTAAGCGGTTATATTTCTAACATTGTGAAACCAGAGTTGGATGTAAATAGTTCAGATTCAAGTCAACACTCTACAGGAGGATTATGAACTTGGCCAACCACACCTAAAGAACACAGTGGGTTCGTGTCCCATCACAGACATGTGCCAATCATCAGTAGTTTCTACACAATATTAGCAACAGTGGATAGAAAATGTAGAGAATCCAAATCTATTTTTGAGTGTTCGATGGTTTCAAGCTGGAGTTGTAAAAGTACTTTTGCATCACTCTGTGGCATCACCAACGTTTCGCCAGTTTGTCTGCGGTAATCAAGGAAACATGTATTTACTAACGTGAGAACATTTCACTGGTTTCAAAACTCTTCTGGCAAGTTTTTGTTTCCTTCTTGTTTTGTTGCTGCTTCTCTTTGTAGCTCCTTTGTAGTTTCTTAATCATGCTTTTAAGAGTTTTATATTTGCCTCACCTCGATATTTTTATTCTTTCTGCCTGTGCGTGCGTGTGCGTGTGTGTGTGCGTGTGCTCCGTTCCACATGTGTGTCAATGCTGAGGGGAATGTGTATTTTTTTGGACCAGTCTAGTTTAGTCGCTGTGAAATTTTGAAGGCACTCAATAAGTGAATGGGCTGGTGCAGCTGGCGCATGAGCAAATGTGTTTTTTCACATTTTGAAACTCCCGCAGACGGTGGAAGTGATGGCACATTAGTTTGAGCAGCGGAGAAAGGCGTGACTACGTTTGTTAATGTTTACAGTCTATGGACGTGAGAGAGCCAGAACACTTATGACACGTACCATCGTTGAAGTCGGCTCCTTTGGCGAAGCTGATGAAGTGTGTGCCCTGGCTGGAGCTGAGGACCACACTGCGGTTGGAGGGAGTGGGGGTGAGGGGAGGGGGGTGAGGTCTCTGTGGGTAGGGGGGCGTGGGGCACAGACTGGCCAGGGCAGGCACCAGTGAAGCCAGTGCCTCCGGGAGGTGGCAGTCAAACACATGAGGCTGGTTTATGTGCAGCTGCTCTCCTGCACACAGACACACAGACACACAGACACACACAGAGAGAGAAACACACACAGACACACACAGAGAGAGAAACACACACAGACACACACAGAGAGAGAAACACACACAGACACACAGAGAGAGAAACACACACAGACACAGAGACACACACAAAGTAGTAAGTAAAATGTGACACTGATGTGTGTCTGCACTGAGCCTCTCTGTCTCTGGTCTCTCTGTCTCTGGTCTCTCTGTCTCTGGTCTCTCTCTCTCTGGTCTCTCTCTCTCTGGTCTCTCTCTCTCTGGTCTCTCTCTCTCTGGTCTCTCTCTCTCTGGTCTCTCTCTCTGGTCTCTCTCTCTGGTCTCTCTCTCTGGTCTCTCTCTGGTCTCTCTCTCTGTTCTCTCTCTCTGGTCTCTCTCTCTGGTCTCTCTCTCTCTGGTCTCTCTCTCTCTGGTCTCTCTCTCTCTGGTCTCTCTCTCTGGTCTCTCTCTCTGGTCTCTCTCTCTGGTCTCTCTCTCTGGTCTCTCTCTCTGGTCTCTCTCTCTGTTCTCCTCTCTCTCTGGTCTCTCTCTCTGGTCTCTCTCTCTGGTCTCTCTCTGGTCTCTCTCTCTGGTCTCTCTCTCTGGTCTCTCTCTCTGGTCTCTCACTGGTCTCTCTCTCTGGTCTCTCTCTCTGGTCTCTCTCTCTGGTCTCTCTCTCTGGTCTCTCTCTGGTCTCTCTCTCTGGTCTCTCTCTCTGGTCTCTCTCTCTGGTCTCTCTCTCTGGTCTCTCTCTGGTCTCTCTCTGGTCTCTCTCTGGTCTCTCTCTGGTCTCTCTCTGGTCTCTCTCTGGTCTCTCTCTGGTCTCTCTCTGGTCTCTCTGTCTGGTCTCTCTCTAGTCTCTCTCTAGTCTCTCTCTAGTCTCTCTCTAGTCTCTCTCTAGTCTCTCTCTAGTCTCTCTCTAGTCTCTCTCTAGTCTCTCTGGTCTCTCTCTCTGGTCTGTACCGATGGTTTGGAAGCGCTCCAGAGGGAAGGTCACACACAGGAAGCTCTGGCCGTAGTGCAGACCAGTCTCAGGGTACGAGTAGTTTCCAGTCTGTCTGGGAGGAGGGAAGTGAGGGGTACTGTGGACCAACCAGAACCCCTGACCTTTGTCCAGGACCACCACTCCTGCAACAGACCAGAGAGACCAGCGTGAGACCAGCGTGAAACCAGAGAGAGACCAGAGAGAGACCAGAGAGAGACCAGAGAGAGACCAGAGAGAGACCAGAGAGAGACCAGAGAGAGACCAGAGAGAGGCCAGAGAGAGGCCAGAGAGAGGCCAGAGAGAGGCCAGAGAGACCAGAGATAGAGACAAGAGAGAGAGACCAGGGAGAGATCAGAGGGAGACCAGAGAAAGACCAGAGAGCGAGAGACCAGAGAGAGACCAGAGAGAGACCAGAGAGAGACCAGAGAGAGACCAGAGAGAGACCAGAGAGAGACCAGAGAGAGACCAGAGAGAGGCCAGAGAGACCAGAGATAGAGACAAGAGAGAGAGGCCAGGGAGAGATCAGAGGGAGACCAGAGAAAGACCAGAGAGCGAGAGACCAGAGAGAGACCAGAGGGAGACCAGAGAAAGACCAGAGAGCAAGAGACCAGAGAGCAAGAGACCAGAGAGATACCGGAGAGGAGCCCCAGGTTCACCCTCAGTTTGAACTACTGCTGCTACTGGACAGAGCCTGGGTCAAACCACAGGCCATGGTCCTGGTAGTGTGGTATTTGTAATTTGAATGATAGAATATGGTTCAAACTAGAAACGCAGATCTTTTGGAATGAGTATCAAACAAACCCTGTTCATTACATCACCCTGTGGTGGAGGAAGAGAGGCAGGAGTTTTTGGAAGATCTTCTTCTGGATCAGAATCAGAACAAATCCTGGCGCTGCCATGAAAACAATTGATTGGTCCTGTAACTCTAAAGTAAAAGTTACAACTTGTTTTAAAATCATTAGTAATGTTCAGTAAATGTGACATCACAGAGGTCCTGGGTCAGTAATGTGACATCACAGAGGTCCTGGCTCAGTAATGTGACATCACAGAGGTCCTGGCTCAGTAATGTGACATCACAGAGGTCCTGGACACTGGTACCTTTGGTGTGTCCAGAGGAGCGCTGGGCTGCAGAGCTCTCCACAGGACTCTGGTCGTTGTACAGGACATATGCCACGTCTGAGCTCTGAGGAGAAGAGTTACACTTTAAAGAATATGTTCCTGTCCGACTCCTGAGGCCCATTATTATAGATTCAGAACCTTCATTTAAGGTTTTTTAATGAACAACCTTTTAGATTCTAAAACAGGGCTGTGCAAACTTTTCTGGAGGAGGGACATTTAGATTCCCCAGACTTGAGCAGGAGCCAGAGAGTGTTTTGACTGGATTCAGACGGTTCTGAGCTTTGGTTCATATGGATTCATGCCTCAGCTACATTAGTTACACACCAACAATAACTGGATATACATTATTATTATTAATAAGTCATGTCATTTTCTACCCCTTTATTATTGCATTTCTGGGTCAGAGGTGTGGCAATCAGAGCTGCCACCCAAGTCTCATAGCACCAGTCCCTCGCTGAACCTCTGCAAGTGGTGGGTCCATGGGAAGATGGCTTCTCCATGATCGAAGACATGGCCTTGGTCTGGCAGCGGGGTTCAAGCAATGTAGGGTTAAGTGTCTTGCCCAGGGACACAACGACAGCAGACATCAATGGGAGCAGATGCCATGGGTTGTGGTGGTTCGAATCCACGACCATTAGGTCCACAGACCAATGCTCTACCAATTGAACAGTCTGACACCTGTCTATCTCATACTCACTGTACAGTCTGACACCTGTCTGTCTCATACTCACTGTACAGTCTGACACCTGTCTATCTCATACTCACTGTACAGTCTGACACCTGCCTGTCTCATACTCACTGTACAGTCTGACACCTGTTTATCTCATACTCACTGTACAGTCTGACACCTGCCTGTCTCATACTCACTGTACAGTCTGACACCTGTCTATCTCATACTCACTGTACAGTCTGACACCTGTCTGTCTCATACTCACTGTACAGTCTGACACCTGCCTGTCTCATACTCACTGTACAGTCTGACACCTGTCTATCTCATACTCACTGTACAGTCTGACACCTGCCTGTCTCATACTCACTGTACAGTCTGACACCTGTTTATCTCATACTCACTGTACAGTCTGACACCTGTCTATCTCATACTCACTGTACAGTCTGACACCTGCCTGTCTCATACTCACTGTACAGTCTGACACCTGTTTATCTCATACTCACTGTACAGTCTGACACCTGCCTGTCTCATACTCACTGTACAGTCTGACACCTGTGTCTCATACTCACTGTACAGTCTGACACCTGCCTGTCTCATACTCACTGTACAGTCTGACACCTGCCTGTCTCATACTCACTGTACAGTCTGACACCTGCCTGTCTCATACTCACTGTACAGTCTGACACCTGTCTATCTCATACTCACTGTACATGTTGACACCTGTGTCTCATACTCACTGTACAGTCTGACACCGGTCTGTCTCATACTCACTGTACAGTCTGACACCTGTCTGTCTCATACTCACTTAACAGTCTGACACCTGCCTGTCTCATACTCACTGTACAGTCTGACACCTGTCTATCTCATACTCACTGTACAGTCTGACACCTGTCTGTCTCATACTCACTGTACAGTCTGACACCTGTCTGTCTCATACTCACTGTACAGTCTGACACCTGTCTATCTCATACTCACTGTACAGTCTGACACCTGTGTCTCATACTCACTGTACAGTCTGACACCTGTTTATCTCATACTCACTGTAGAGTCTGACACCTGTCTGTCTCATACTCACTGTACAGTCTGACACCTGTCTGTCTCATACTCACTGTACAGTCTGACACCTGTGTCTCATACTCACTGTACAGTCTGACACCTGTGTCTCATACTCACTGTACAGTCTGACACCGGTCTGTCTCATACTCACTGTACAGTCTGACACCTGTCTGTCTCATACTCACTGTACAGTCTGACACCTGTCTGTCTCATACTCACTGTACAGTCTGACACCTGTCTGTCTCATACTCACTGTACAGTCTGACACCTGTCTGTCTCATACTCACTGTACAGTCTGACACCTGTCTGTCTCATACTCACTGTACAGTCTGACACCTGCCTGTCTCATACTCACTGTACAGTCTGACACCTGTCTATCTCATACTCACTGTACAGTCTGACACCTGTCTATCTCATACTCACTGTACAGTCTGACACCTGTCTGTCTCATACTCACTGTACAGTCTGACACCTGTTTATCTCATACTCACTGTAGAGTCTGACACCTGTCTGTCTCATACTCACTGTACAGTCTGACACCTGTCTGTCTCATACTCACTGTACAGTCTGACACCTGTCTGTCTCATACTCACTGTACAGTCTGACACCTGTCTGTCTCATACTCACTGTACAGTCTGACACCTGCCTGTCTCATACTCACTGTACAGTCTGACACCTGCCTGTCTCATACTCACTGTACAGTCTGACACCTGCCTGTCTCATACTCACTGTACAGTCTGACACCTGTGTCTCATACTCACTGTACAGTCTGACACCTGCCTGTCTCATACTCACTGTACAGTCTGACACCTGTCTGTCTCATACTCACTGTACAGTCTGACACCTGTCTTTCACACTGACCTGAGAGTACAGCTGGTCCACCGTCCTGCCCACTGCTCCTCTGGTGTTGTTAATGTCGACTGCTCCCTCTGCCCACTGCTCACTGTCCTTCTCCAGCAGCAGGTACCTCAGCCCCTCCTCCCCCTCCACCCCCTCCACCCCCTCCACCTGCCGGGGCAGTTTGTACACATAAAACCTGTGGAAGTCAAAGCAGATTTAGAAGAGCACATTTGCACCATTATAGTAAACAATATATTTGATCCTCCAACAGAAATGTGAACATGTCCCTCCGCTTAAACTGAACTCTGCTGGTATAAACTCAAACTGAAGCAAATGTTCTTTTTTAAACAAACGTGTGATAATCCAGGAGTTGGGAGACATTAATCCTATCGAACAGAGCTTCCTGGATGCAAAAGTAAAATTAAAAACGCCCACAGGGATTTCAAAGCATCATTATAATAAGACCTTGATGTGCAAACTCTCAATTTTAAGATTTACTGAATTGAATTTGACTTCTCCATTATCTTCTGTGTATTTAGACATTTTTGCACATTTTTTTTCCAGCACTTTCTTTGTCTGCTCTTGTGCGATTGATTGTTGGTTGTAAATTGCCTAAAATAGAATAGTAATATCATACTGAACCAGATAATAACAACAGAAATCTCTCTCAGGCTCTCACCAGTCCACAGGGGCCCCTCGGTCATTGTAGCAGCTGATGGGAGCCGCAGCGTCGCCCCCTGGCGGAAGCAGCAGCAGCAGCAGCATCAGCAGCGTCATGTTAAGTCTGTCTCTGACTCTGTCTCTGCCTCAGTCTCTGGTCTAGTCTCTGGTCTAGTCTCTGGTCTAGTCTCTGGTCTAGTCTCTGGTCTAGTCTCTGGTCTAGTCTCTGGTCTAGTCTCTGGTCTAGTCTCTGATCTAGTCTCTGATCTAGTCTCTGATCTAGTCTCTGATCTAGTCTCTGATCTAGTCTCTGATCTAGTCTCTGATCTAGTCTCTGATCTAGTCCCTGATCTAGTCTCTGGTCTAGTCCCTGCTTCAGTCTCTGCTCCAGTCTCTGCTCGGTCGTATATAAGCAGTATTTTAATTCGTGTGCCCGGTAAAGAGCGGCACGGAGCGGCACGGAGCGGCACGGAGCGGCACGGAGCGGCACGGAGCGGCACGGAGCGGCACGGAGCGGCTACAGTGCGGTCTAAACAAACTTCACTTTTTTTCTGCGCAGACTTCCGTGTTTTGGTCACGTGCGGATGTAGGCGTAAATCAGGGAAATGATACACAGAAAAGCCTGGATTGTAAGTTAACTGCAGTGACCAAAAACCCAATGTGGTCACTTTGTCAGCCTGGGCCTTCTAATTATTATGTCCAACACTTACAGATATGAGTAAGGATATTTAATAAATGTAACAGTTCCACAGGTTCCATAGAACTCCACCCTGAGGTGCGCCCTCAAGTGGACATTTAAGGCAGTGACACTATACCAAAACCTCCCACACTAAATGTATTTTTGAGACTGTAGTGACAGATGAGAGCAGTGTCGGTACTCAGAGCTCTATCAGACTGTTGTGGTGAAGAGGGAGCAGTGTCTGCACGCAGAGCCCGAAATCTTCTTGCACATTCATAGTATTCCATTCAAAACTTTTCAGAAATACCATAAACACAATAAATTAGTCAAAGTTTTGTTTCTTTCATTGTATTTTTATTAAAAATTAAAACATATACATTTGTGCTGAAGGTTTTTCATTTGAAACACAATCCACTGAGTGAGAGAGGCTGGTCCTGGGCTGGTCTTGGACTGATCCAGGATTGGTCCTGGACTAGTTTTGGTTCAGCTTGTTTTCCACCGGAGAAGAAGCTAGTGCTAGTTACCATAGGAACACACTGTTAGCATTAGCATTAGCTTTTAGCCTTTTACCAAACTGTTTTTGCAGCATTTCAAGTTATACTCACCAGGTTCAACAACTATAAAAAAAATAGCTAAATATAAATAAATCACTTACTTCCTTGAATAAATCTGGTGAAGAAGTAAACATATTTGGGGGGAATTTGTCAGAATTCCATTGGTTTGAAAGTGAGCTGTCCGAATGTGGGAGTTCTCATAGATTTATACTTCTGGTAGTTCTAGTGTTAGGGGGTTCAAGGCAAAAGCAAAAGCAACAAGTAAAGTGTTCTCAAAACAACATTTTGAGCTTTTTAACAACTCTCATAAACACTAATCCCAAATAAATCACCACAACACTGAGATTAACCAGACTTATCTCTGTTTACTTTCTTTTCAGTTATTTTGTTTTTACGTGGGTAATGGAGCTGATGTGGGTCGTCACTCACTGATCATAAAAGGAGAATAATTGTAAAATAAACCAGTGGATTTCACATCAAAGTGTTAAATATAAAGTTGGCTCAGGCGTCACGTTCAGCAGGTGGTGTTTATGTGAATAGAGCTGTCCTGGTCCTGTGTGTTACTGTGAGATTTCATAACACTTTTAAGCAACTTTTGTTAAAGTTAAACTCATCATTCTATCAATGTGCAGAAGCCTGTACTTTTCCCTTGTTTTGTCTATCTGAAGGCCAAGCTACATGGCACTGTGGCAGCTGCTGATTGGAGGTCTCCATTCCTCCGCTCTGTATAATACACTTGCATTCTGTTGTATCTGTTGTTCGTGTTGTTCGTGCTGTCTCTACCATTGACAATAAAACATGTCTTCTGTCTGAATGAAAGACACGATCCCAGACTTTGTCATCTTCTTCATTACACTGTAAAACATCGATTCAGAAGAGCAGGAAGTGTAAAATTCCCCATATTACACTAAAAAAAAACCCCACATACATCACCCTCTCACTCACTCCACTCTACTCACATTAAAAACAACAATCAACTAACTCACACATATAACATTCTCTTTACTCCCATTTCAAAACAAAAACAAACAAAAAAAAATACACAAACACAACACACTCAACACAAACACACAAGAAAACAACCAAAAACACAACACAAACAACAACAACAAACACACAAAACACACAACAACAACAACAAACACAAACCAACACACAAACAACACACAACACAAAAACACACTAAAAACAAAAACACACAAAACAAAACAAAAACACAAACAAAAACACACACAACAAAAAAAACCCCACCACAAACAAAACCAACACAAACAACAAAAACAAAAACCATCACCAAACCACACATCACAACCCCATCAATACTCACAAACCCAACCCCAAACATCCACCATAAAAACACCCACACCCAAAATCACACCTACACCCCCAACCCTAAAAACACACAAACTACCCCTCCAAAAATACCCTACACCATAAACCTCCCATCCAAACAACCTACACCACCCAACATATAAAATATCCCTTCTACCCACACCCAAATCCTTATTAACCAAAAAAAACACTACCCAAATAATAAATATATCATATACACACTCACCCAACACAATACAAAAAAAAACACCACCCAAACTAACAACACCATAACCCACAACATACACAAAAACAAACCCATAAACACTCACCAATCAAAAAATTAACCATAAAACCACTACCCAATAACATAAAAAAACCATAAACCCCACCACTCACAAAATACAACCAAACCCAAAAAAAACTAACCAAATCCCACCAACCAAAAAATCCAATAACAAACTACCCCAACCAACACACAACAAACACAACAACACACACCATCAAAACTCACACATAAACAACAACAACTAAAAACAAAAAACTACCATATCCAATTCATAAATCCCTATACCCACTCACCCAAAAATAAACAACCAACAACCCCCAATCCCAAAAAAAAAAAAACAAAACCCAACCCAAAAAATTAACTCACCCAAAAAAAACATTAAAAATCATAAAAAAATAATCACTTACATCAATCCAAACAAAAAATCATCTAACACCTACCAATAAATAATCCTTCTATAACTTATAACATATCTCACCCACCAACTTACAACTTCCAACAAAACCAACATTAAACCCACCACAACAAACCAAACTAATATACTACAAACAAAACTAAATACTAAAACCACCACACACAATCCCACACAACAAACTAACAACACTACATCCACTTTTATCTATAACTACCAAACTCACACTACTAAACTCACTACTCAAACTCCCAAAAATCTCCAACTAATTATCCTATCCCAAATTAATCCTAACCACCCCAACCAATTAACCTAAAAACCACCACAACAAACCCACCACAAAAAAACACAACCACATCCCCCCCATCCCAAACCCCAAAACAACTCCACACCCCTATACCATCAAATAATTCAATTCCACTCACCCAACAACTTCACTACTACATCATCTCCATCCATTCCTTAAACCAAAACCATCCTTACCCAACTACCAACACCATCCACTAACCATACCTCTCTCCCATACTTCCCATCAAATTCCTCTACCCATTACCTCCTAAACCATTCTTCCATAATTTCTAAACCATACTACCTCCTTACATAAACATCCCATAATTCCACTAAACCATTACACCTCCTCTACCACTACTTCCATCAAATTCCCCTTAAACCATAACCCTCACCCATATTCCACATTCCTTAACCCATTACTTAATACTTCCCAACCTACCTTAAACCCATACATCCCTACCATATTCCCATCACATTCCTTAAACCCATTACACCACTACCATACTTCCTACCATACCTCTAAACCAATACCTCCTCAACATACTTCCATCAACACTTCCTCTAAACCAATACTCCTCTACAAACATCCCATCCTTCTCTAAAATTACCACTCTACATACCATTCCATCAACATTCTTAAACAAACCACATCCCTACTTCCACTATCACCATACCTCTAAACCATAACCTCTCTACCCATACTTCAAACTTCCTTAACCCCATTACCTTCTACCAAACACAACCAATCTCTAACATTCCACTTCAAACTCTCCAACATTCCCCTCTAAACCCTTACTCCTTCTACCTACTTCCCAATCAATTCTCTAAACAATTACTCCTTAAATACATTCCATCACCATCCTCTAAACCCATACTCCTTACATACTTCCATCACATTTCTAAACCATTCTCCCTCCTACTTCTCATAACAAAATTAATTCTACTATCTCACCAAATTAACCTCTATTATACTTCCCCAATCTCAAAAATTCTCCCCTTACCCTACCTCAAAAATATAAAACAACAAACACATCACTAACCATACCACTACCTCATACACAACCACATATATAATATAATCATTAACCCATAACCCTAATCATAAAAAAAACATAACCCACACAACTCAACAATTAATCCAACATTAAATAACCCCAACATACAACAAAAAAACAACCTTAATTAAAATCAATAAAAAAAATCTTATCTACCATACACACTATATATAATATATAAACAAATAAATCAAATACTACTTACCCACCCTAAACTCTCAATAATCTAATAATCCCCATCCCCACAACCCATATATAACAACAACAATCCCAAAACCACCCCACCCTCCAATCACACAACATCCCTAACAAACCCCCATCCTCACCATCCAAAATTATTTCAACCCACACCTCACCAAAACACACTATCATTAATCTCCTTCCCCCCCCCACCCCTCATCTATAACCCATATTCAACCTTACCCCTTAACTCAATATAAATAATCACTCCCCCCTTTCCCCTACCATTAAATCCATCATCCTCATCTAAACCAAACCCCCCCTAATAAATCCC